GAAGCATTTAGGAACTAGAGGAAAGTTGTATGTTTCATCGGTGCTATACTGCACCCTGACTGGCTCATCTCCTCCCAGCGACCCTTCTGTAAAGGGATGTCCAGTTGCCTACAGATGGGCTTTGGGTCCCCACTCCACTCTTCCTGAGCAGATGGCATTTTTAAAAGGGACAAATTTGGATGTGAAAGTACTGTGTGTTCCAAGTAGGAAATTCAGAGATCTGAGAGGGACCAGTAAGGTTTTGAGTACACGCATGCATGTGTGTGTGTGTGTGTGTGTTTCCTTTGCCTATGCCTCTACCTAGAGTTGGCTTAGATACTTTGTCGTCTCTGGCCCAGATTCCTAGAGACAACAGAGTCCCATCTCAAAAGGACTTCAAAATTTATTTTTAGAAAGGGAAAGTTTAAAGCTAACCCCAACTCTCAGGTAAGATGTAACCCTCACTGAAATAGAACCATGCCAGCCGAACATGGTCTCACTGACTCATTATCAGGCGAGATCAGGACATTATTTCTGGCAGCTTTTGAAAGCCACAGCCTGTTAGATCGGAAAAAACCCTACTTCTTCCTGAGGGTTTAATGCAGCTTGCTCTTGCTGGTTCTCTGGAGCACTGGAGCTCTCCCCCTTTTTCTTGGGCCGCCTTTTAAAATGCTAATTACATTTTGTGATCTTCACTCCCCCCTAACCCCCAGCTAATTTTGGAGATCAAGAAAGGGAGTTTCAGATGTATAAAAGATGTGCTTGTCTTTCCACCTGAGCTACATTTGTATTTCATTTCCTTTTATTGCAAGAAATTGTGTTGGGATCCTAAACAGGAACATACATAACATTGATTGTATTCTGCATAACAAATTGGATTAGGATAATTACCACACAGATGTTAAAAAACCCTGAATGCAAATCAATGCAATTAGTTATGACTTAATATACTATAATTCACACATTGGAATGTCTTATTGTGATTATACTATTTTAGAACAAAATGCTTGAACAAAAACAAAAAACGAGAAAAGAAAAAAAACACCCGAAAAACAAAGGAGCAGGGGAGAGAAAAGAATTTTTACTCTGGAGCTGCACGTGCTCTGAACAAGAAATCGTTTTATGCTAATTTGGAATTTCACTACTCAGAATTCTTTTTAACTAATCAGATCCTTCCATTTCTCTTACTCCCTTTTATGTGGAGAAAGCCACTTCTTTAACAGGACAATTTCATGCGCAATTCAACTTGAATGCCACCATGATGAACAAAGAAATTTGCACATGGATGCTTTTGACAAACATGGCTTTAGAAAACCAAGCCTGGGGTGGTGGAGGGCAACCCCCTCTGACCCCTTCCCCCTCCCCTCCCCACTGAGGGTGGGGACCCTGAAACAAAGCAGACAGTGTAAGAAGTTGGAAAGGGTTCATGTTAGCGGTACAATATGCGGACCTGTCACCCGGGCAGAAGGTAGGTAAAGCTTGTGCCCAGCTAAGGAGGTGATCTGGGCTGAATTCCAGCTCAGCATCACTGGGCCACGCTGTGTTTCAAGGAGCCATGTGGCACCTGACCCAAGTGAGAGGTGCCTTTTTCCAATGGACAAAGTTATATCATGGGTAAAAGGAAGAAGTTTGGTCACAGAGGAGGGTGGGGGGCAGGGATGGGAGTACACATCTACTTTCCAGGAATGATAGGAGCCCTTGAGATGCAAATCCAACACAAAACTCTAGTTTGTTGAAGTTTATGTTACTTCCCAGTGGTTGGTGCTTGCTTAGAATTCCCAGAGGACCTGTGGGCCACTTTCTACACTTCCAATTAGAAACTCTTCGATATTGTCCTCTCTCTGGTCTATGTTGCAGCTTTGCATTTCAAATTGATGTGAGGGACCTTGAGGGCCTGGCTTGTGCCATCATCCTCTTCTCTGTAGACCCTTAGAATACAAAGTCAGGACATATAGTTAAAAATTCATAATATAATTCATTTTATGTTGGGTTTGTTCTTGGGGATCTACATAGCAGAGCGGTCATTCAACAGTTTGTATTTGTCCAATTCAATGACAACGATTATATTGCCCACCTCTTTTGAGTTGGTCCTCACCCATTTTCACAATGTCCAACCGAACTTGAATTTCAGGTATGCCACAAATACTTGCCAAAT